GAGGTAGGGTGCAGCTGGGGGGGAGGGGAGGTTGCCCTGGATCCCATCCAGGAGGAGGAGGGGGGGCTTGCCCTAGATCCTATACCCCCTTGGGGACAGCCCTGGCTGTAGCATCAGCACTTGACATAATTAGGTTGACGTGAGCTGCCCATGTCGCCCTAACACCACAGTGTGAACCAAGCCCCAGGACCCACCCTGCAGAGCCTGGTCCCTACCTTGTACTCCTGGGCAGCCTCCTCGATAGGCACCACCGTGTGTGCGCGGTGCTCCCGGGACCGGTCACACACCACACAGATGGGGGCTTGATCCTCCTGGCAGAAGAGGTTCAGGGACTCCTGGTGTCTCTTGCACCCTGGCTGCCCCTTGGGCACTGGCCCTGCCGGGAGCTGCAGGCGTTTCACCAGCTCCACCAGGTTCCCCAACTGGTAGTTGGGCCGCAGGTGTCTCTGCAGGATGGTCTCTCTGCACTGGGGGCAGGAGAACTTGGGCTCCGACTCCCCCCAGCACTGGCTGAGGCAGGCCCAGCAGTAGTTGTGCCCACACTCAATAGACACCGGATCTGTGAAAAATTCCAGGCAGATGGGACACGTCGCCTCATCCTGGAAGCTCCTGGCCAGGTCCCCGGCAGCCATGGCCTCTCTGCAACCCGTCCCTGAGGATTGGTTTTGTTTCCCAATCAAATGGAGGAAGCAGGAAGCAGCGTAGCCTGTTCCAGCTGTTGTTTTGTTTTTTCCCTCTAAGCAAGATGCACAACTGGGAGCCAATCACACTTGCTGGATGGAAATGAAGAAAGAAAAAAACACCACAGAAGTCAGACCCCAGAAATGCACCAAGCTACCTAAGAAAACTCCCAGGCAGTTACAGACACACAGAACCTTGCTTGTTTAAAAGTCTCAGGGGGAGCCGTGTTAGTCTGTAACTAAAAGAAGCTTAAAAACCAACAAGTTTTCATGGGCACTGCCCACTGCTCTGGGTTTGCCATCTGAGGCAGTGGGTTGTGCCACAAAAGCTCATGACATTCTCCAGATTTTTTGCTAGTCTCTCAGATGCTACAGGGCCAGGGGTTTCTTAAGGCACCCAGAAGCCGGCGCTGCTCCCGTTTATAGGCGTAGGCAGGAGCTGAAGGACTGTGTCCCCTGCAGCGAGCTGGGACTGCGGAGGGACCCTGAAGGGGCAGTGGGATTAATCCCCCCCTTTATTCATGTTTCACAATCAAATTCTGTTCCCCTTTGCCCCCAATAATACTGGGGTGCTGCTGAGGCACGTGACTCACCCCATCATTAATGATCATCAGAGCCAGGACCCATTTGGGTACCAGTATCTCCCAGCAGCTAAGGCAGGGGTAGCCACCCCCGACAGGTTGTTTTACTGCCCCAGGTGGGGTGGAGAATAGGGGTGATAAGGGCCACCCCACCCCAAGGGCCTGCTCTCTGCTTTGCTGCCCCGTTTCCCAGGGCAGGACTCGAGAGGCCACAGACGCCTGCTCCAGCCCCTTGCATTCCCTTCCCTTCTGGCCTCACAAGCTCAGGCCCTGTGACCCCAGGGGGTGGCTGCCCCCAGTTCTCAGACACAGCCAGGGCCTGGGCGGGTACGTGGCTGTTCTGTGCCAGCGACAGGGCAGAACTGGGTCACTGGGGTCGAGGGCAGAGCCACACCCCCCCACTGAGACTCAGCCCCACTCTGCCCCTCCCAGCTGCTGTTCCCCCAACTGCCCTGTAGTCTTCTGGCTCCATCCCCCCACTCTGCTCCTGTGACTATGTCCCCCCCCAGGGCGCCCTCCTAGGTCAGAGGCTGGGCCAGGCATGGGGGGGGATTTGGCTTCCCAGCGATTCACTCCGTTTTGATCCGACTCCCCCCCTCCCGTTCGCCCTTTTC